GCCTGATACTTTTGTACCCAGAGTTAAAACTCCATAGGTTTAGCTTCAGCTGGAAATCTGGTATTTTAATGCACTTCTGATTGGAATTATCTGTAGGTGATTTTCTTTTGTGATCTCCCAGTTTCCTTTAGTTTTAGTTGTAGTGTGACTGGCAATGTTGTTAACAAGGACTGTATAGACCATGCCAGGGTGAAATAATTTAATAGATTTCATAAATTGGCTCTTTACATAGTGTTCACAGAAGTAATCTATCCTTTGCTTTCATCTGATTGAATCACAATGCAAGACTTACATGCTTTCTGGTCTAAGAAAATACTTAAATTGTATATCCTTCAGATGGATTTCTTCATGAATCAAGTTATCAAGGTAGCTGATTTAGAAAATGCCTGTGGAAATGAATTTGCATGTCTGTTTCTAGAAAACAATTAAATCTAGAGGCATGGTCTGGTTGTTGTTTGCTAGTTTGGGCAAGATAGCGTTCTGTATTCTTAGTGTTGCACGTTATCAGGAGATATGTATCTGGTTGTCTCCATTGTGAGCTTGTCAGCCTGATCCACTTGACGGGCTTAGCAGCCTTCGATAGTTGCCTATTTTATGAGTTTGCAAAAATGGTGATTCTCTAATTCTGTCATACCTTCTGCATTTATGAGCTGGAACTTTTATCTAAAAAAATTTTCCCTCATGAGTTGTGAGGTTACAATGAAAATACATAGTTCATATAGGAGTCAGGATAATGCTTGGAATCTTTATTTTCTAACTTTGAGAATGAGTTGATACACTAACAGCTTACTTGTGTTCTTTTAATCATCATTGTTACCTGTAAATTAATAGCTTTTGGGATTTCAGTCCATTGTGGTCTGGGAGACATCAATTTTATACCTTTTTTTTAATCCAAAAATTTTACCATATTTGGCCATTTGGCACCCTTCAGATTGGCTCCATTTGACTACAACTTTTTGTTACTATTATTATTATTTCTTAAGGACAACTTTTTAAAAGCAGCACTTAAAATATAGGAAGTCAGAAACAAGTGGGAAAGAGCAAAGAAAAAGAATAAATTTTAAATTAATGGTTTTTATCTTGAAATGGAAAGAGTAGTGTCATTCTGGGCTTCAAGTTAAGTGTTCAAGATTAAGTGAATTATTTTTTCCTATTACATTGATCTAAAACATGTTACTGATTTCTGATACTCTCATCTTTATGCTCATCATTATTAGATTGATATGGAACTTCCTGCATATAAAGCAACATTCTGTATTTTTATTTAATTTACGACTTGACAAAATAATGGCTTATTCCTTGTACCTTTTCATTTTTGAGCTGACTGATGTTTTTCTTAAGGGTATGAATAAGTGTAATTCAAGCTTTGAACTATATGAAATTCAGTTTATTGAAAGGGGACTGTCAGTTCTGAAAATTTATTAATGTCATGTATTCAGCAATCAAATTCAGTGCTTTAGCTTGTTATGGATTAGAAAATTTTATAACCTGTTTTCTAATCACAGAAGATTTTTATATTAAAAACAGAATAAAATTGTTAGGATCGTTTTTCCTATTAAGTAGATGTCAGCCTCTCTAAAAATTGCCAAACTTTGGTAGACTTCGTCAGCTCCTTCTCTTAGAATGAAATGTTTAAATAAAAATTAAAACAAGTGTCACCCAATCGGTTTTAAGGCTGTGTGCAATTTTTCTGAGTTTTGTATGTGGTCCTTAAAGCAGAAAACAATGTAAGTTATTTTGAAGCTTTTACTGAAAGTACTATTATCTTTTAAGTAATAAGTTGCCTGTAACTCAGTAGCATTTGAATAGTTTTCTAAAGCACTTTCATATTCATTATTTCATTTCATCTTAATTGTTAAGGTAGACTGGCTGAGCGAAACGCTCATTAGAGATAAGAAAAGTATAGGTCTTATGAGCCCAAGAGACTTGCCCAAACCAGCGAATGATGGAATTGAGGCGAGAACACCATTCTGACTCCTGATACTATCCTTGCTTTTTCTGTTATGCTATTCTAAAATAAACTGAACAGTTTTACACAAAGTATATAAACAACAGTATTCTAATCAGTCTTTGAAACTGTGTACCTCACAGTGGCGTCGGTTATGTACTTTTAAAGTTGTATATAAGATTACTAAACTTCTAGATCCTTTCTTTCTTATTAGTTATTCTTGAGAATGTCCAAATATATTATCTACTTCATGAAATAAGAATATGTGTTAATCATAAGGCAGGCATCTCAGGAACTGGCTTTAGAGCAGCATATACAGCTTGCAGCAGAACATTTACAGGTTTTCATGGCGATGTAAATTAAAGCATTGCTTCAAACCCTCTGGTGTGTCTAAAAGTCATTTTTATTCATTGATGGGTATAAACTATTCTATGAAGAAATTCCAAAATTATTACTTGTATGGAAGAATTTATTTTGTTTCATTTCTGTATACAAATTTATTGATCTTAGGTCTAATTTGGGATCACAGTGATTAATTGTTGCCCTTATATTTTATTCATTATCCTTTAATAACACTATCTTTGACTTTGTGGTTCTAATGAGTGAGAATATTATCACCAGTTAGTTCAGTTAAGATAATCTCCGGATTAGAGCTAGCAAATACTTGATCTGAGTCCATGGTTCAGCATCAGAGTAATTTGGGAGTGCTTCTTTAAAGTACCAGGTTTGAGGAGGTGAACAATTTGGAAATATGTGGCAACAGTTTTTACTTATCACAATGATTGTAGGAATTCTGTTGACATTAAATATGCAGAAGCCAATCTTACCATAACAAAAAAGGTGGGGGGAGTTTTATCCCACTGAAATTTCCAATAGTACCCACAGGGAGAGAGGCACCTTGAAAAAAAATAATTCATAATTTACACGTGACCTTATTCTAGTTCACACTTCCTTTTTAACTCTTAGTTCCTGGATCCCTGGGGGCTTCCCATGAACCTTTGACTTTGTCCTCTGTCGTCTCCCTATGCCTTTTTTCCTTCCTACCTTCTTGCCTTCCATTTATCTCAACTCTGCTTGCTATTGCGTAAAGTTTGGGGGAGGGGGATAAAAGCTTATAGATGAGAGACAAAGTAGAAAAGTCAGATTTCTTTTTGTATATGTTTTTATATACTCTTTTCCTCTTGATATTTTCCAAATTGAGCCTTTTCTTTAATTTTGCTGATTGTGTATCATTGTTTACTGTCCTTTTAAAGCTTTCCTTTTTGTCGGCCTTCACATTTGCATTTCAGCTCCCCACTCAATTAGTTTTTACCTTGTTTTCTTATTACTGAGGTAGCAAATAAGTCTTCATGCACCTTAAACATTTTAATCTACCAAGGTGTCACCTAGAATTTACATCATTGCATTGTTTATACACCAAACAATGTCCATTAAGTAAACATAGGATCAAAAATATAACCTTTGAGATATATGCAGATGTGCTTCACTAGAGATTTATAGCTTTAGCCAAATAATCTTTGAAAATGAAAGCACACGTCTCATGGGGTGACATTGAAAATTGACTGTTACTGAAAATATTTTCATGTGTGATTGTTTTCTTACAATGTGCCTAGGAACAAATCTAATGTGAAAAGGTCAAGATCTTTACAAACTGTAAAACACTGGAGAAGTTAAAGCAGACAAATAAATGGATGGATATACCTTGTATGGGGGTGGAAAGACTCAATATTATAAAGAAACCACTTTTCTTCTAGTTGATGACTAGATTTAGCACAGCCTCAATAATTTTTCAGGCTTTTTAAAGAAATTGACAATTTCTTTACGTTAAATAACATAAACGGGAAGATAGAGCTGAGAGTAGTCCAGACAATCTTACAGATCCAAGTTAATGTCAAAATATAAACTTACGGCAACTAAAGTTGTGGTATTGCCACAAGGATAAATAAACCAGTGGAATAGAACAGAGGATCCAGAAATAGACCTACTTCTTTAGGTTTACCTGATTTGTGACCAGTGGGCCGCTCTGGTATATTTGGGGAAGGGTAGTCTTTTCAGTAAATGGGACTGGAGCAATTAAATATCCAAATAGAGTAAAGTGAACTTTGACTTCTTTCTCTTTCACACGATACACACATACAAATTTTATCATCAAAGAAATTAAGTAATTGGCTTATAGTCATGAAGTTAGTAAAGAACAAAAATCTTGAGCCCAAGATTTTTCTGGCTTATTACAGGATGTTGCACTGCTTCTCAAAGAATGCTTCTATTTCTGTCTAATAGCTCTCTGAATAAATAACGGGTCTTTTCCTACTCCCTAACTTTAGAATTTTTGTGAACTTTATTTATAAAATTTTGGTAAAATATAACTTAGCCTGTTGTGAGTTGATGGGAAAACTGAGTTTGAATGTCACTATATTGGTTGCTTTATACATTTTTACTTGCTAACAATTGGCCTTTAATCCAAATTAAATTTTTACTTTGGTAGTCTCTTCAAGTATTTTATTACTGGTTTTTAAATTAAACCAGATAAAAGTCTTTATGTGATATTTTAAATAGGATAGTAATAAACTTAATTTATGCTGAGATAATCCTTTTTTTTAATGTTTATGTTTTGTGAGTAGTTTCATTGACCTACTTTTTTTTTTTTTTTTTTTAACTTTTATTTACTGAGAAAGAGAGAGACAGAGCATGAGCATGGGAGGGGCAAGAGAGAGGGGGAAACACAGAATCTGAAGCAGGCTCCAGGCTCTGAGCTGTCAGCACAGAGCCTGATGCAGGGCTTGAACTCACACACCGCGAGATCATGACCTGAGCCAAAGTTGGACACTTTACCAACTGAGCCACCCAGGTACCCCAAAATTGTGTGTGTGTGTATTTTAGACACACACACACACACACACACACACACACACACACACACAGTGAGAGTGGGGGAGGAGCAGAGAGAGATGGAGACAGAATCTGAAGCAAGCTCCAGACTCTGAGCTGTCAGCACAGAGCCCGATGTGGGGCTTGAACTCATAGACTGCAGGATCATGACCTGAGCCGAAGTCTGACACCCAATCAACTGAGCCACCCAGGCGCCCCCTCATTGACCTACATTTTATAAGTTTTTTTTTTTATTTTTTTATTTAAAAGTGTAACTCAGAAAACTCAGAAGGTAGGCATTTTATAAGTTTTGTGTCTGATCAGAATTTTTACCTATTAATTTATTCATACAATAATGACCACCTACATGCCAGACCCTTCTTGACCGGAGATAATTGTATTAAGTCAAAAAACCACTTGTTAAGTCAAACTACCCATCATCAAGTCAAACTACCCACCATCATGGAGGTAGTAGTTTTGTGTTGAATGTAGACCTGGCTACCAGAGGTTACAATGTAATGATTGTAATTCTGTTGCCTTATTGCATTTTAATTCTGTTTTATAGAAATATGATGATTCTCTCCATTAGAATTACCATCTTTCCTTCAGGGTTTTTTTGTACCAAATTTACCACACTTTATATTAGGGTTACTTCTGGGCTATTTTGGATTAGAAGCAAGAAAGGCCAGACCTTTCCCCACAACTATAAGAATGTTGAAATCTCAACAGATGTTTGGGTAATTGAATTTGAGGAGTTTTGTTTCTTTGTGTTTTATTGGTGAATGTATTCTGGGACACTTGCTACTTGTTTAAAAAATTATTTTACATTCTACTTGGATTTCTATTATTAAAGCATTATTTAGCTGTTCCAGTCAGTGTGTTCTCTGTTCAGTGTGTTAATAGGATCATACTGTTTAGAATACTGCACTTTGAAAGGGCTTATGACAGTTGTAGAGTTTTTATTTTTGTGTGTGTACATTTGGTTTGGTTTTTGGACATTAAGTTTGGTTTATTTTTGTCTGGGTTAAATCTTTCACAGTCCGTTTGCAGTTCAGCCCTCTTCCCACCACAGTAACAGCCCCATCAAGACAGAAAATCAGTGTGCCTATAATGTTTGTCTAGGATCAAAGTTATTCTTTCTGATACTCAAGTTTATTAAGCAAACCTTAACATTGCATAAACTCACTGAATGATCCTGATTTTAAGAGAAAAATCCCAGGTCCTACGGTTTCCATTTACCCCATTCAGGGCAGCTGGTCATGAAATTGCAACAGAAATTTTACAAGAAATGCAGATGTAATCCATTGGTTTCTTAACTGTCACCAAAAGTATTAACCAGAGAGGAAATGAGGTCATATCTGTGAGGGTGGTTTGAGATGTGCAGGGAAGATACTTAGCACCCACATGTCCATATGAGGCAGTGAGTGAAATTAACCCCGCTACTTATGATTTTGGGGGCATAGTTTTTAAAGAGTCCTCATGTTCAGTTACAGAAGTAGTTTTCACTAAAGATTAAAGTTCAGGCAATTTTTAGAACCAAACAGAAACTAGCCTTTTTGTTAGAATAATGGGAATCAACAAGATGAGTTAGTAATAGAAATGATGTACTACTAGTCTGAAGACTATAGTTCATATGTTAAGAGCTCAGTCTGGTTATTTATTTTTTTGAAGGCTTATTTTTGAGAGAGTACAAGTGGGGGTGGGGAGCACAGAGAGAGGGGGGCAGGATTTGGAGCAGGCTCTGCACTGACTGCAGCAAGCCTGATACAGGGCTTGAACTCCAGAATCAGGAGATCATGACCTGAGCCAAAGTCAAGATGCTCAACGACTGAGCCACCCAGGTGCCCCTCAGTCTGTTTAAATGCTCTTTGATGAATGAGGGAAGATTATTAAATATCTTCTGTTGTAATGGTCTCCCTCTTTATATTTTTAGGAAGGTTAAGCTTAAGTAGAGGCTAAAAGGTCAGGTTACTTAATTGCATTTAGAGAAAAAATTGCAAGCAATAGAAATGGAAACAACAGATTTTTATTTTGGTTTATAGTTTACATCTAATGTTTGCTTTATGTGTGGTCGTAAGATGTACAACTTTAAGGTAACACCTGACATTTTCATGCTGTTTGCTTTTTATATTAGCCTATTAAAATGGTGTGGAAGACTACACTTTTTTTAAAATGTTTATTTTTGAGAGAAGGAGAGCTTGAATGAGGGAGGGGAAGAAAGAGAGAGAGACACGGAATCCGAAGCAGGCTCCAGGCTTTGAGCTGTCAGCACAGAACCCAACACTGGGCTCGAACTCACCAACCATGAGACCATGATCTGAGCCAAAGTTGCACGCTTAACTGACTGAGCCACCCAGGCACCCTGGGAGAATACACTCTTAATTAGAGTCTCATTAGTTTTTAAACTCATTGAAGCCTCAATCTTTTTCCAGTAAAATTTTGTGTCTTTATATTGCAAATATATAGCTAATAATCACTAGAAAAATTTTATGTGATTTATTCCCCGTGTCACATACGTCAAGTGTATCCCAGATTTCAGAATGTCATATGACGGGCACCTGGGTGGCTCAGTTGGTTAAGCATCTGACTTCAGCTCAGTTCATGATCTCACTGTTGTGAGTTCAAGCCCCACTTCAGGCTCTGTGCTGACAGCTAAGAGCCTAGAGCCTTCTTCAGATTCTGTCTCTGTCTCTCTGCCCTTCTCTTGCGTGGGCGCGTGCACGCTCTCTCTCTCTTTCTCTCTCTCTCTCTTTCTCTCTCTCTTTCTCACCCTCTCAATATAAAATAAAACATTGTTTAAAAGTTTAAAAAAAAGAATGTAATGTCATACTGTTCTTCATGAGGTATAGTGGGGTATAATTAAAAGCTTTAAGTGAATTATCCAGGTATAATTGTTTTCCAAAAAGCTCAGTCTAATTATTATTTATTCATCTTTCAATAAGGTAGCTTCGCTAAGCCTATTGTGTCACATGTGAAATGGAGATAATAGCCTTGTCCCTTGTCCTGTTGTTAAGAGTATAGCATATGTATTAGTTTTCTAGGGCTCCTGTAACAAACTACAACTAGGTGGTTTAAAACACAAATTTATTGTCTCATACTTTGAGGCTAGAAATAAAATCAAGGTGTTTTTAGGGCCATGTCATTTTGAAGACCGAAGAGGCAGTCCTTCCTTCCTAGCTTCTGGTGGTTGCTGGCAGTCCTTGGCATTCCTTGCCTATAGATGCATCACTCCCATGGCCGCCTATGTAATTACATGGCATTCTCTCTGTGTGTCTGTGTCCTAATTTTCCTTCTCTTACAAGGACACCACTCATTGGGTAGGAGCCCAACCTAATCCAGTATGACCTCATTTGAACTTGGTTACATTTGCAAAGACCCTGTTTCCAAATAAAATCAAATTACAGGTACCAGGAGTTAAGAATTGAAAACTTTTTTGGGAGACTCAGTTCAACCCAGTATAGGCTGCCTTTTGGTTACCCCAAATTCCTCTTTGGCCCACGTGCAGAATACATTAATTCCAAGCCAGCATCCCCAAGAATTGTAACCCATCCTGTCGTCAGTTGAATGTCTAAAATCTCATCTAAATGACTCAAGTCTAAATATCATCTTCTCTGTCAGGTGAGATGCCTAATGTGGTCCATCCTGGGACAAAATTCTTCTGCATCTATAGACCTATGAAACTTAGGAAATAAATCATCTGCTTCTAGAATATAGTAGTAGCACTGGCATAGGATAGACATACCCACTGCAAAAGGGAGAAATTGGAAGGAATGAAGGACTTACAGTGCCAAGCAGGTCTGAAAGCCAGCAGGGCAAATTCCATTTGTTTCAAGGCCTGAGAATAATCACCTGTGGCATGATGCTCTGTACTTCGCATCTACTGCTGCCCAACCCCTGTAGCCTTTGCATCTGTGGCTCTGCTTTCAGAGTAGTTCTTAATTCATCCCATCTCTAACGCTTTCAGGCCAGGCTGCCAGTGTTTCTGTAGATAGGAAATTCTTGAAAACATTGTTGGTCTCCCACTAATGTCAAGGGGCTGTCCATCTACACCCATTGACTCTGCATTCTCAGCATTCTGTCTAGATAAGCTAAGACTTTTCCAGATCATCAAGTGCTGGTTTTCTTTTGCTTAGCAGTTCCATTTTCAGGGGTGCCTGGGTTGCTCAGTTGGTTGAGCGTCCAGCTCTTGATTACAGCTCAAGTCAGCATCTCTGGGTTCGTGGCATCAAGCCCTGTGTCAGGCTCTGTGCTGACAGCGTGGACCCTGCTTGGGATTCTCTCTTTTTGTCCCTCCCCTACTTGTGCACACATGCTGTCTCTCAAAATAAATCAATAAACTTAAAAAAAAATAAACAGTTCCTTCTTCAAATTATCTTAATCTTATTTCACCATAAGCAGCCCAGACACCAGACCACACCTTTAGCACGTTGTTTGGAAATCTCAGCTAAATCTCCACACCAGTTTTGCTTTCTACCCAGTTTTCCTTTTTTAACACGTTTCAGTTGGGTTTCCCCGTTTCCAATAACATGTTTCTCATTTTATTCTGAGACATCACTTGGAACATCTTTATAGCATTCATATTTCTACAAACATTGTTCATGACAACATACGTATTCTCTTAAGACGGTAGCCGCTTTTGATACGTGCCTTATATCTGTCTGAGCCCTCATCAGAATTGCCTTTAATATCCACGTTTCTACCAACCCTCTCTTCAAGGCAATTCAGGCTTTTTGTGAACACCTCCAAATTCTTTCAAACTGTACCCATTACCCAACTGCAAAGTCATTTCTTCATTTTTAGTCATTTTTTTATAGTAGCACATCACTATGAGTACCAAAATCTGTTTTAGTTTCCCAGGGTTGCTGTGGCAGATTACCCCAGCTGAGTCACTTAAAATGACAAATTTGGAGGGAGGCACAATTCAACACAGTATATAGCATTTTGTGCAGAGTTCACTTCTCAGTGTCTAATAAAGAATGCCCAATAAATGTTTCCTGCCTTTTTTAAAGGACCCTCAGTGTCTAGCATACAGTATTATTTATGAATATTAAGTAATTAAATGCACTTTCTCAGGTAGGTGAAAAAAACTGATTATTTTGAACACATAAACCCTATCTAAAATGAGGTGCCAGAACTCAGGACAAAAAGGTCTGACCAATATTATCCTTTGAGGAATTAGATTGTCATTTTAGACTTTTTTCCTACCACTCTGTATCATTGATTCTTTGCCTACTGCAACTAACTGGCCATCTTCGGTTATCATCTTACCATTTCCTGAGTTTTCTAGAGCCTTGTCTTCTGAAACCAGCACTGTCTAGTAGCCTATATGTAGTCGTACCCTTTTCAGGACCCCAAATCTACTAGGATTACCATTTCTATTTGAAATTGGTAGTTAACAACCTGCTG